GTGTCCTTTGCCTTACAGAAGCTTCTAAGTTCGAAGAAGTCCCATTTATTGTTTCTCTCAGTGTCTGTGACCCTGGAATTATGTTCAGGAAGCAGTCTCCTATACCAATTTCTTCAAGGGTACCTCCTACTTTCTGTTCTAAGAGGTTCAATGTGGCTGGATTGATGTTGAGGTCTTTGATCCATTTGGACTTGAGTTTTGTGCATGGCGACAGACATGGGTCTATCTCACCCTCATCCAATTGTGCCAGCACCATTTGTTGAAGATGCTCTCTTTGCCCCATTGTATAATTTTAGCTGTTTTGTTGAAAATCAGGTGTTCATAGGTGTGTGGGTTAATATCAGGATTTTCAATTTGATTCCATTGGTCTACCTGTCTATTTTCATACCAATACCAGGCTGTTTTCAGAACTATAGCTCTGTAGTAGAGCTTAAAGTCAGGAATGGTGATACCTCCTGAAGTTCTTCTATTGTATAAGGTTGTTTTTTCCATATAAATTTGATTATTATCTTTTCAAGGTTGGTGAAGAATTGTGGTGGGATTTTAATGGGGATTGCATTGAACCTGTAGATTGCTTTTGGCAAGATTGCCATTTTTCCTATATTACCTATCCAAGAGCATGGGAGGTCTTTCCATTTCCTGGTATCTTCTTTAATTTCTTTCTTTAGAGCCACAAAGTTCTTGTTATATAGGTCTTTTACTTGTTTTGTAAGCATTACACCAAGATACTGTCTATTGTTGTGGCTATTGTAAAGGGTGATGTTTCTCTGATTTCTTTCTCTGTCTCTTTGTTGTCTGAAAATGTAGGGCTACTGATTTTTTTTTTTAGTTTATCTTGTATTCTGCTAGTTTGCTGAAGGTGTTTATCAGCTGTAGGAGTTCCCTGGTGGAGTTTACTGGGTCGCTTATGTAAACTATCATATCATCTGCAAATAGAGACATTTTTACTTCTTCCTTTCCAATTTGGATCCCCTTGATCTCCTTTTGTTGTCTTATAGCATTAGCTAGAACTTCTAGTACAATATTGAAGAGATGTGGAGTGAGAGGGCATCCTTGTCCCTGATTTTAGAGGAACTGGCTTAAGTTTCTCTCCATTCAGTTTGATGTTGGCAGTTGGTTTGCTGTATATTGCTTTTATTTTGTATAGGTATATTCTTGTTATCCCTGACCTCTCCCAGACCTTTATCATGAAAGGGTGTTGAATTTTGTCGAAGGCTTTTTCAGCATCTAGGGAGATAATCATATGGTTTTTCTTTTTTCAGTTTGTTTATATGGTGGATCACGTTGATAGATTTTCATATGTTAAACCAATCCCTGCCTTCCAGGGATGAAGCCTACTTGGTCATGGTGGATGATTTCTCTGATATATTCTTGAATTTGGTTTGCCAGTATTTTATTGAGTATTTTTGCATCCATGTTCATCAGGGTCTGTATTGGTCTGTAGTTTTCTTTCTTAGTTGTGTCTTTGTGAGGCTTGGGTACCATGGTTATTGTGGCCTCATAAAAAGAGTTTGGCAATGAACCTTCTGTTTCTATTTTCTGGAACAGTTTGAGGAGTAGTGGTATTAGTTCTTCCTTGAATGTCTGGTAGAATTCTGCACTGATTCCATCTGGCTCTTTTTGGTTGGAAGGCTTTCGATGACTGCTTCTATTTCATTGCAGGTTATAGGTCTATTTAAATTGTTTGTCTGTTCTTTATTTAATTTTGGTAAGTGATAGTTATCCAGAAATAAAATAATAAATTAAATAAAAATATTTAATTTTTTTAATCTTAAAAAAAAAGAGTAGACTAAGCACTTCCCTTTCTATTAGCCTGGGCAAGACAATCTGGTATGAGGAATAGGTTCCGAAAAGTAAGGCCTTCCTGAATAGAAACTAAACAGAAGTAATTGGGGGAGGGGGTCAGTGGGTGTAGTGGGAAGGAGAAGAGACTGTGGTTGGAATGTAAATAAATAAATGAATTTATTTTTAAAAAAAAAAGATTCTTCACAGACCTTTAAAGAACAATTCTCATCTTTATGTGGAAAAACAAAGAATCCAGGATAGCCAAAGCAATCCTCTACAAAAAAAGGAACTTCCAGAGGCATCATCATCCCTGACTTCAAGAGCTACAATAAAGCTATAGTAATGGAAACAGCTTGGTATTGGCACAAAAAGAGACAGGTAGAGAAGGGAATAGAATTGAAGACCCTGATATTCATCCATATACCTATGAACACTTGATTTTTGACAAAGAAGCTAAACTGATTCAATAGGGAAAAAAAAGAAAGCATCTGCAACAAATGGTGCTGGTATAACTGGATGCTGGGGTGGAAAAGATTGCAGATAGATCTATATCTATCACCATGCACAAAACTTAAGTCCAAATGGATCAAAGACCTGAACAAAAATTTGCCCACACTGAACTTCTTAGAAGAGAAAGTGGAAAGTACCCTTGAACACATTGGCACAGGAAACCACTTCCTGAACATAACACCAGTAGCACAGACACTGAGAATAACAATTAATAAATGGGACCTCCTGAAATTGAGAAGCTTCTGTAAGGCAAAGGACACAGTCAACAAGACAAAACAGCAGCCCAGAGAATGAGAAAAGATCTTCACGAACCCCACATCTGGCAGAGGGATGATTTCCAAAATATAAAAAGAACTCAAGAAGCTAGTCACCAAAACACCAAATAATTCACTTTAAAAATGGGAACAGATGTAAATAGAGAATTCTCAACAGAGGATTCTCAAATTACAGAAAGCACTTAAGGAATTCTTCAACATCCTTAGCCATCAGGGAAATGCAAATCAAAACAACTCTGAGATACCATCTTACATCTGTCAGAATGGCTAAAATCAAAAACACCAATGACAGTTTACAGGATGTGGAGAAATGGGAATACTCCTCCATTACTGGTGGGAATGCAAATTTGTACAGACACTTTGGAAATCAGTATGGCAGTTTCTCAGAAAAATGGGAATCAAAGTACCTCGAGATCCAGCAATTCCACTCTCAGGCATATACCCAAAGGATGCACATTCATACCACAAGGACATCTTTTCAACTAGCAGAATTATTTGTAATAGCCAGAATCTGGAAGCAAACTAGATGCTCCTCAAACAAAGAATGGATGAAGAAAATGTGGTACATTTACACAATGGAGTGCTACTCAGTGGGGAAAAAATGAAATCTTGAAATTTTGCAGGCAAATGGATGGAACTTGAAGAAACCATCCTAGGTGAGGTAACCCAGACATAGAAAGAAAACATGGTATGTACTCACTCATAAGTGGATATTAGAAATAGAGCAAAGGATAACCAGTCTACAGTCCACAACCCCACAGAAGCTAGACTACAATCCACAACCCCCCAGAAGCTAGATAACAAGGAAGAACCTGAGAGAAACATACATTGACCCCTGAGATGGGGAAAGGAACAAGATCTCCTGAGTAAATTGGGCGCATGGGAGTGAGGGAAGTAGGAGAGGAGAAGATGAGAGATCAGGGAGGTCATGATGGGGGAAGAACAGAAAAAGACAGCCAGGAAAGAGACACCTTAATAGAGGGAGCCATTATGGGCTTAAGGAAAAATCTGGCACAAGGAAAATCTTCAGGGATCCACAAAGATGACCTCAACTATGAATATAAGCAATAGTGGAAAGACTACCTTAAGTGCCCTTCTCCTATAATGAGATTGATGACTACCTTAAATGCTATCCTAGAGTTTTCATCCAGTAGCTGATGAAAATAGAAGCAGAGATTCACAGCTAAGCACTGAGCTGGACTCCTGGAATCCAGTTGTAGAGAGGGAGGAAGTGATGAGCAAAGGGGCCAAGGCCATGCTGGGAAAAAAAAAAACACAGAAACTGCTGACCTGAGCAAGTGGGAGCTCCCAAAACCCAGTCTGACAGCTAAGGAAGCAGCATAGGACCAAACCAGGTCCCCTGAATGTGAAAGTCAGTTGGGGGGCTTGGGCAGTCTATATGGCTGCTGGCAGTGAAACCAGTATTTATCCCTAGTTCATGAATGGGCTTTGGGAGCCCATTCCCTACGGAGGAGGGATACTCTCTCAGCGTAGATACATGAGGGAGGGCCTATTCCTGCCCCAAATGATGTGACAGACTTTGATGTTTCCCCATGGGAGGCCTTACCCTCCCTGATGAGTGGATGGGGTGGGATGGGGAGATGGTGTAGGGAATGGGAGGACAGGAAGGAAAGGAAACTGGGGTTGGTATGTAAAAAAATTACTTTAAATTTAAGTAAAATTTTAATTTAAAAGATTAAAAGTATTTTTTGAGAGACAGCCAAGGGTAGCCATTGGCCGTGTGGCCAGGGTCAGCGGTAGTAGCGGCAGACACCACTACAAAGAACAAATACGTGATGGAGAGGTAGGAAAGACAGAAAAATGGAGCAGCAATTGTGCTATGGAAAAAGGCAGAATTATAGATGTGATGGTGGGGACAGGTGAGAGAAAGGGCTTTGATCTACTTGCTGTCATTGCTGAAGTAGGGTCAGCCAGAATAGATGCAAACTCAGCCCCTGAACATGACTGGGGAACCCCTCGGGTTCTAGGCAACAACGGAAGCTCACGATGAGGAAAGATTAACTTTCTGGATTGTCCCTCCTCGAAGGACTACCTTGTGACCCATGATGCCACAGGAGGCCATGTTAGTGTCTGTGGCCCATGCCCCAGGCCATGATGAAAACTGAGACCCATGTGGTCATAAGCAGTATGTGCCACTACCTGATGCCATAGTGATAGCCTCTGGCTTTGCTGCCTTGAGTACTTGATGTGACATGCATAACCACCTGCAGCCCATATTGAGGCCCATGGCCCATGCAGCCACTGAGGACCAGGAATGGATCAGTGGTCCTGACATATACCCATGTGACTACTTAAGCCCATGCAGTTATTCATGGTCTAGGCTGCTGCCTGAAGCCACATTATCATCCGTAGTAACGTCCTGGCTCAGCCTGCCCCCCATGGCAATGGCACTGCAGCACCGATAGTGCCATGGGTAAAGAGGAACAGAGCCTACACCTCACCGGCCCATGGCATAGTGATGGTGACACAGGCAGTGACATGAGCATGGAAAAGCTGGCCTCGCCCCTCACCAGCCCACAACACTGTTGTGCGGGTGGTGCCGGGGTGGCTCTGGCCATGGCAAGGCTCTCCTCTGTTGATAGATTCTGGTGTAGATGCAGAAGGAGAAAGACTCATCCTCCCTTTAGGAAGCTGGCCACTAGGAATCTGACCATGCTCCACCGAATATATAGACAATATCAATGGACTTCTTTTCTTGGAGAGGGAAGTCAACCAGAGGGGGAACAGACACAGGAAGACTGGGAGGTAAGTGTGATTGGAGTGCATGTGAGGTTCCAAAATAATGGATAAAATAATAATTTTCCACCATGCCTTCCCCATCATGATGGACTGTACCCATCATGAGGTACAGTATCCCTTATTAAACTGTGGACCAAAATAAATCCTTCCTCATTTAAGTTGCTTCTTACCCATTATTTAGTCACAGTGATGAACAGTAACTAATATAGCCACTGAAAGCACTTCCAGCTCAAAAAAAAATATCACATTGTTTTCTCATATTCAACCACAAAGATGCACAAAGGCCAAAAGGCCACTACAGTGGTGGCTGTACTGAGCCATTCTACATCCAGTGCTAGGAGCAAATTATGGCAGCATAGTCCACACAGTCACACAGTACTGATTTTTAAGGCATGCAAGCTGAGAGAGAGGGGGGAGAGAAGGAGAGAGAGAGAGAGAGAGAGAGAGAGAGAGAGAGAGAGAGAGAGAGAGATATCCAGCCTTGCACAGGTTTTGGGATGATCCTGAGGCCAGCAGCTTCCAGAATTCCCTGCAAGAAGGCCCTAAGCAGTCATTTAATGAAGCTAGAAAGGTGAAGCCATTACAATGGGGATGCCAGAATGTTGGAGGTGACATTTCTGCCTGGGACATCTGCCAAGAGCCAAATGGATATGCTTCAGGTGACAGAGTTGGAGAAATTCAACAAAGTCCTTTGAAGCCTGGGTGACTCAATCTCATGCTCCACACATCAAACATTAAGTTATACTGTTTTGCATTTGCTCTGCTGGATTTTGGGTTTTCTTTGACCTAATCTTTCCTTGCTATGCCTCATTTCTCCCTTTCTGATGGGAATGCTTAGTCTGTGCCATTATGAGGTCCAAATTTTGTTTTGATTTTATAAGATCTCATAATAAAGGGGCTGTCTAAGTCTCAGGAGAGATTTTGGACTTATGAGCGGCATTGGCTATTAAAGACTATGGGGACTTTAGAAATTGGAATGGATGCATTTTCCATTAATTGATGGCCTTGAGCTTTGTGAGGACTAGTGTGAAAATTCTGTGGTTTGAATGGGAAACTTTCCCAAGGCTTTCTGTGTTGTAACCTTGGCTACCAGGTGGTGGTGCTGATTTAAAAGAAGTTGCTTAAATGAAGTAGATTACGGGGGGGGGGGGGGGTTGCGATTCTTACAGCCCAGATCCACTTCCACCCACTCTGCTTCCTGAGATTGTGTTGCTTAATGTGGGCAGTCGTGAGCCAAAATCAGCCTTTCCTCCTCTAAGCGTCTTCTCCCTGGGCATTTTGTTACAGTGTGAAACCAACATAACTGATGTAACTGGCTAAATTTGATTTATGTCATGTCAGTGGGGTTTTATCCTTTGTGGGAGTTTCCTTTCTTTGGCTGACCAATTGACTGTTTTGTATTTTCAGTGCTAGAGATTTAATGCAAGCCATCAGTGTTGTGTGGTACCACCAGAGAAGACAACTCAGACATGGGTTTAAGCAAATGGAATCTTTAGTAACTTTTAATGGTTCTATGTTGATTTGCATACCAATTCCACTTTTTCTCCCTATCCCTGTAAGCAGAAATTTCTCACAGCTGCTTTCAAATAATCACTCAGACGCTTACATTAATTGGAAATCCTCACCAATAGCTCAGGCTTGTTGCTAGCTAACTCTTACAACATAACCCATTTCTATTCATCTTTGTGTTGCCTCGAGGTTCATGGCTTTCACCTGTATTCCATTCTGTATGTCCAACTTATTCTCCATATGGTTGGTAACTCTCTGAGTCCTCCCTTCCACCTCCCAGGATTCTCCTACTCTGGTTCTCCTATGCAATTTCTTCCTGCCTAGCTATTGGCCAATCAGCTTTTTGTTAGCAAATAAGAGTAATACATATTTATTTATATTCAATGTGGGAAAGGATTGTTCCACAGCACATCCCCTCACATCCAGACTCTGCCTCATTAACCTCTACTACTCCTACAAAAAAATTAAGAAAAACCCAAAACTAAACAAAACACACAAACAAAAAAGGAAAAGAATCTTGTCATGAAATCTGCAGTATAGCCTGTTGAGACACACAGTTTACCCTTTAGTCCATTCGTCTTTATTTGCAAGTGTTCACTGCCTTAAGTCATTGTCTTCCTCGAGGCCTCTGGCTTCCACTAACACACCAGGGATGGCTCTCACTGAGGCTCCTCTTGGCTATCCTGTTATCCTGTGTCATGGAGATCCTGCTGTTTTGGATCTATAAGTTCATTCCCTTCATATGCTCCAACAGTACATAGATGAGGCTGATGTTGGAGAAAGTCTTTATTAGTTGGTGACTACATGGGGTATTTGGGATCCCAGTTTAGCCCCAAGCCTTTCTTGGGGTAATTTTTTAAGCACAAAACCACATCCTGGATTGACACACCTCAGTTAGAAAGAACAGTTAGTCAGAAGCAGAACTACAGAAGTCAAAAATTAATGTTCATATGGACTTTCCCAAAACTATTAAATTTGATGGGTTAGCTTTACCTCTAAGAGTACAAAGTACATCAACATTGATTGTACTAATAATCTACATTAATGTATACTAATTGGTAAACTGACATTCAGTTGAGTCTCCACATACTTATTCTCAGAAAAAGAGTGCTTAATACGGGGAGGTCTGTAGCCCAAAAGCAGCATCAGAAAGAGGCCTGAACCATCATCCTGGAAGCAGCTTCAGAGGAAGGCCTGAGCTAAGTCATATGCCATGACTTTGCCACACTGCACAGGAAAGGTGGTGGCGATGAGATACTAAAGGAACTGAGTCAGTAGGGGAAGAAAGCTGGTGGTTTACTGATTAGTCACATACACATCCTAGTAAACACTCTCTATCTGGCAAGCCTTGGGGTTAAGTTTTAAAAAGCCAACTGAGGCTCTTCTGAAGCAGTACAGAAGACATCATGGCCAAGTTTAATCTTGTCACAAGTGAGGTAATAATCAGACATAAAGACTCAGTGTTGCATGGCTTTTTTTTCTCAGGATCTGAAAACCAAGAGGCATCTTCACTCTATAGCTCTATGCTTTACCATTATCCTTCACCATTTCAAATTGTCTTCCGTCATTCACTGAGTCTTGTTTTCTAACCTCACAGGCTGTGATACTCTTCTGCCTTCATTGGTGACACAGGCATAGTCTCAAAACAGACTCTTTTTAACAATACTTTTCTCATGGTCCCTGCTTTATCCAGACATCCACCTTCCCCACTCATCTGCCTACACTGCCTGCCTTAAATTGTCACTTATATTTATTTAATTATTTCCTGGAACTAGCTTTTAAAGAGAATAAAGCAATAAACACTTAGATGTAACTATCCTAGTTGTCTTTGTTCTACTGTTTTCAGATTAATCCTCCATAGGCCTGCTGCACTGATGGAGTAAAAGTGTTACTCACAGATAACCATTCAAAGAGATTTATTCATCTGAATAATTTCATTAAGCTTCAGAAACTTTTTCAGATGAACACTGAACTCAACATGTAAAAGATTCAGAAGTGGTCTGGTTACATGATGATGGCTCAGGCTAGTCATTCCAGTGAGCAAGGAACATAGGAGAAGATTCCCTAGTTCAAGGCCCATCTGGGCTAATTAATTAGTAAGACATGCTCTCTCAAAACCTGCTCTGTCAAAGCCAAGGAGAGGTACCTGGAACTTCACATTGTTGTTCCTCTCACAAGGTCTTTTCAAAAATGCTTCAAGAAACTCAGACTTTGGTAACACTGCTCTCTGCTTTAGAGGATGGTTTGACTGTTGGAAGGCTGGAATCAAACTCTGGGAGGTGAGACACAGTCTAAAAGGGTGAATCCTAAGAAAAGTAAACAAGTAATTTGAGACAGTTCTATAGATAATAGATTTTATATTCAGTAACAATTAATTAGAACACAGAAGGTGGACCAGGATGCCCATTGCTGTTTTCCACTAAATCATAAGAGTAGACTGAAATGTATATTCACTGAATACAGCACCAGCTGGAATGGCTGTGAAGTTTCATTTGGGTCGTGGCAATCTATGACTGCTAGGATGGCCCTCACTGTTTCGGAGTTTAGTACAAGGATTCAGGGAGCTGTTTCACAGTAAATGTTTCTTCTCTCTTTCTCTAGGTTTGGCATGTCTGTTGAATTCTCAACTGGGTATGTTATGATTTTATGTTCAATTGTTTACAGTACTTTTCCTACCTGAAGCTTCAAATGTATGAGTTCTTCCTAATGTACCTTTCTTCTTATTTGTGATTTTCAAATTATACTTTCACATTACTTTATTTGGAAAAATTACCAAGAGGTAAACCAACAAGGCAAAGAGAAGGTTTTTCACTATTGGGAGTGGCTCTCAGTGCTATCCTCTGTGGTGTGCCTATCTTAGCATTAACAAACTAGCTACCCTGGGTCTTTGAGAGGGGCCCCTGACTGCAGGACCAGTATCTATCCCTGGTGCAGGAACTAGCTTGTTGAAGTCCATTCCCTATGGTGGGAGGCCATGCTCAGTCTTAATGCATCGGGGGATAAGTTTGGTCCTGCCTCAATGGGCCAGGCTTTGTCAAACCCCCATGGGAGCCCTTACTCTGTGGGGGGGAGTGGATAGTGATGGGTTGGGGGGGATAATGGGAAGCAGGAGGAGGGATGGAAGGGAGAACTGAGTTGGAATGTAAAATGAAATTAAAAAAAAGAAAAACTTAAAAACAGCTACTGAAGAGCTTCACAGAAACAGAAGCATAATGTCTGTCTTCTAAATCTAGCCAAGATCCAAAAATTAATGTCATAGTTATAATAATCAACTTCAAGTCAGTGCCTGCTATCTAAGTGTCTGGACTCATGATAAAGAGTCTTACTACAGATTGCTTCCTCCTGCATAACAGGTGCCTGAGGGCACAGCAAGGGAAAGAGGCAGGGCCAAACTGTCAATAGAGTTCCCTGCTATCTCCATCAGGCCACTGTTCTTATTCACCTTCCACAGATTCCTCCTACCAGCTGATGTGCTACTATAACAATGTAGCCCAGACCAGGCCAAGACTGAGAAGTTTCAGTCCTGCTGATATTGACCCTTGCCTGTGTACTCACCTCATCAGTGTCTAGTTAGTATGTGGAACAAGATCACCATGAAAAGCATAAATGACTTGATTGACTACCAAACTTTAAATATCCTAAAAGGCAGGTCAGAAAAGGGCAGACCTGTCTGATTTTATGTCTCTTGGGTCAATAGTTGCCACATATTGATGCTTCTTTAAATGTAGCTCAGAATCCACAGGTTTGGGATGAAGACCCAACCAATGCCATAAGTTTTTATTGACATCATTTACATATAATTATTACACACAACATGCTGCCTACATCTTACAATGGTTCACGACCTTACAAGCATGTTTTTACTTCACGCACTTACTTTTTTCATGGTAGATATTCTTTACATAAAGGCTTCTTGAACATTTTTTCTTCCCATCTCTTTAAATTTTTTATTAAAATATTCTTGGATTTTTCCAATTTTTATTAAAAATAGATTCTTCTCTCATCCAATACATCCTGAGCACAGTTTTACTTCCCTCCCCTCCTACCAGCTCTTCCACACACCCTTTCTCCCTCAGATCCATTCCTCTTCCATTTTCTCTTCAGAAAAGAACAGGCCTCCAAGAGACAACAGTCAAATTGAACAAAACAAGATACAGTAAGACAAAGCAACAGCCCTCATATTGAGGTTGGATGAGGCAATCCAATAGTATGGGGAAAGTCCCAAGAGCAAGCAAAAGAACCAGAGATATACCTGCCCCCACTCTTAAGAGTCCCACAAAGAAAACACCAGGTTAAAAGCCATAACAGATATGCAGAGGACTTGGTGAAGACCCAAGCAGGCCTGTGCTTGCTGCTTCAGTCTCTGTGAGCCCATGTGAGTCCATGTGAGCCCTGCTTAGTTGATTCAGAGGATTATGTTCTTTCTCCTGGTGTCCTTCATAACCTGTGACTTCTACAGTCGTTCCTACCACTCTTCTCAAGGGTTCCCCAATCTCCTAGGAGAAGGATCCAGTGGAGACTTCCAGTTTAGATGTTCTCTCTCTCTCTCTCTCTCTCTCTCTCTCTCTCTCTCTCTCTCTCTCTCTCTGCCTCTCTCTGTGTGTTTCTCTCTCTGCATAAAATCTGGTGGTGGGTCTCTGCACCTGCTCCAATCTGCTGCTTCTCTGATAACTGGATAATGCACCAATCTATGGTCTATGAGTATAACAGAAAATCATTATAAATCATTTCAAGTTCATTGATTTCTTTTTTTTTATTGGCCAGTTGTGTTTGGTTCTACCCTAGGGCTCTGGACTGTCCATTCTTTGGTTCCTGGCCATCTAGACAGTACAAAACATAGATTCACTCTCACAGGATGGGCCTCAAGTTAAACCAAGCAATGGTTGACCACTCCCACAAGTTCTGTGTCAATATTGTCCCAGCATATCTTGCAGGCATGACAAATTATAGGTAGAAGGTTTTATGACTGGGTTAGTGTCCAGACTTCCCTTTCCAAAGCTTACAGTTTCTTCTTGAGACAAAGAGATTATGTCATGCAGATGAATGTTCCCTGAAGGCACCAGCTTGACCTCTCTATAGTCAATGAGCTATGTGGATATCGTCGTCCTTGGCAAAGGGGCCCTGGTGTCAGTTTGCAGAGAAGACCTTCTTTGCTAGCTGTTTAGGGATTTCCATAGGACCCCTTCATCCAAAAACTCAACTGAATATGAATTTTTGTTTTATTCATATGGGTGTTCCACCTGCATGTATGTCTATGTGCCACATGCATTTGGTGCCCATGGAAGCCAGGAAACAGTACCAGATCCTCTGGAACTGGAGCTACAGACAGTTGTGAGCTGCCATGTGGGTTCTAGGAGCTGAACCCAAGTCCTCTAGAAGAGCAGCCAGTGCTCATAACCTCTGAGCCATTTCTTCAGGCCCTGATTTTACAGGGTTTCTCTGTATTGTTTTGGAGCCTATCCTGGAACTATCTCTGTACACCAGGCTGACCTCGAACTCAGACCTCGAACTCACAAAAATCTGCCTGCTTCTGCCTCCCAAGTGCTGGAGTTAAAGCCTAAGGCACTGGCTTAGGCTCTTGTTTTTTTACCAAAACATTTCCAGTATTTCTTTTCTAACACAATCCTGATAACCACTGTTCTATTTTGTTTTTGTTTTCCATGTGCTCAAATAGTCTTGGTGCCATTTATAAGTCTTATGTGCTCCTTGCCTTTCTGTGTATTGCCTATTTCACTTACAATGTCCTTCAAACTCACAAAGTTATTGTAAATGATGGGTTACATCCTTTTTATAGCGGTATAATAATTCATATTGTATATATAGTACACCTTTTTATGCACGTGTCTATTGGTAGATATTTAATGTGATTCCATGTCTTGGATCTTATTATCCAATGTTATGAATACTATCTGAGTGCTATTTCATTTTCTTTGGGTAGTAGTGCTGATGAGTCATGTAAAATCTGTATTTTTTTATTTATTTATTTTATATAACAAAGTCCATTTAGAAAACAAACATTTATAGACAATATTTGGGAATTTGGGCGTTGTTCTTTCCAAACTACTTCCTGCTGGTGAGGGGCGCTGTCATGGGGGATTCTAAGAAGATGCAGAAATCTTGGCTGTAGTCTGTAAGGCTGCTCTGTCCAGCTGTTTTGAATGTAGGATCACCTGGTACTCTGTTTCAGGCGGTCTGGTTTGATCAAACCACATTAGTCTGGAAGGAATCCACATCTTTTCATTTTCTGTGGAAACAAAAATAGAAATCCTTTTCCCCAGTAACTTGTCCTTGAACTTAAATTTTGGAGTCAAAGCATTTTTTTTAATTTAATTTATTATTTTACATGTTGATCCCAGTTCCCTCTCCCTCCCTCCATCCCTTCCTCCCTCCCTCCCTCTTTCTTTCCCTCCCTCCCTCCTTCCCTCCCTTTTACCCTCTCTGCCCTCTCACATGCACTCTAACCACCCTCCCCTCCCATCCCCCCACCCCAATTCCTATGTAGGGGAATGCCATCCAGTTGGGGTCATGTAGATCTGACAGGTCATGTGAAGTAGGGACTAGGGCTTCTCTCCTGTCTCTAGATTAAGGTAGTTATCCCTCCATGGGTACAATCTATATTTTTGAGGAATCTACACAGTGCTCTCTCTAGGACTTTTGTTCTTTACATTTAAGTCAATAGTATTACTAATGTTTGCCATTCTAACAGGTGTTAGGTGATAAGTCAATGTGGCTCTAACTTGGACAGCTCTAATTAATAATGGTGTCGAGGGTCTTTGTGTTTGTTTACATACACATCTTAGGCATTTGCCTTCTTAGAGAAATGTCTAATCAGACCTTTACCAATTTTCAATGATTATTTCTCTTCCAATTCCTGAATTTTTCGAATGCTAACTCCTTATCAGAGTATGAATTGAAAGTATTTTCTCCAATTCTAAAATGCATGGGTATTTTTTTATTCATTTTTATTTACTTTGAAGTTGTCATACAAAGTAATTGGTTTCATTATGGCAATTCATACATTTATGTCATAATATTTTGTATACACTTATGCATGTCATTTGTCCTTCTCTGTCTCCTTTTCCCTGACTTTCTTTCTCACTAATCTTTTCCCCTGCTAAGTAGCCCACCTTCTACTTTCATGTCATATGTATTCTGCTTTTTTCTTTTTTCACTTACGTGTGTGTGTGTGTGTGTGTGTGTGTGTGTTATGTGAGTGTGTGTTTAAATACATGCCTTTATATCCATGACCACATGTGTGTGGGTGTGCATGTAGAGACCCAAGGCTGAGGCAGGTCTTTCAGTCAAACCCAGAAATCACCTATATGCCTATTGTCCATATCCAACATGCTCTAGGGATCTGTTTCTGCCTCCCGATGGTGGAATTACAGGCAAGCCACCATGCCTGTCTGGCATTCATAGCCTCTAGGGATCCAAAGCCTCATCTTCACACTTTCTCTGCAATCACTTTAAAAGCTTGTCTATCTCCTCAGCCCCATTTATATTTTTGGAAAACATACACACACAGAGACATACACATACACACACACACATCTAGAGTCCACATATGAAAGAAACAAATTGAAGCAGAATATCTGATTGATTATATATTCAAACTCTTAGGTTTTTGCATAGTTAGGATAGAAGTAAATAAATACCATAAATATCTACCCTGGAACACATAAAACAGGACATGTTCAAACAAGTATCTCAATGTTTCCAGTTTAAGTCCCTTGTTATGTAAAATTATTAATGTTAAAACTTTCATAGATCAGTTTTTCATGAGTGTTCATATCTTTTAGTTTATTTTTTTACTTTAGTTAATTATTAGGTCAGTTACTGGTTTTTTCAGACAGGGTTTCTCTGTGTAACAGCCTTGGCTGTCCTGAAACACAATTTGTAGACCAGGCTGGCCTCAAATTCACAGAGATCCACCTGTCTCTGTCTCCTGAGTTCTGGGATTAAAGGTGTATGCCACCACCACCCAACTATTATGTTTTTATTATTAAAATTTTTAAATATATTTGATCATATTCTTCCACCAAGTCCTTCCAGATCCTCTCACCCTCCCCACCCACCCAACTTTAAGTTCTTTCTCAAAAACAAAACAATACCACAACCCTCCCCCAATAGAAAACAAGAAAACAAAATAAAACACCCAAGAAAAGCAAGCTGTAACCAAATAAAAGCACACACAAAAGAACTGTGGATTCCATTGTATGTTGATCAACTACTCATGAATATGAGGCCTGCATAGGAGTGGTATATATACTCAGAAATTTCTCTGTTAGAGAAAACTGATATTCCCTTTTGCAGCAAGTATAATGACAGCTGAGTTGTTAACCCTTACCCTACAGCTGGATTTTCTTTAATTTATTCATTTTCAAAATAACGGTACAAAGCAAGATAAAATAAAAACTATATCAAAGTTGGACAAGACAGACAAACAGAAGTAAAGAGCACAAAAGAAGACACACGAGTCAGATTCCTATTAGTTTGCACTCTCGGGAATCCCATAAAAACATTAAACACAGAGGACCTGGTGCAGTCCCATACAGGTCCTGTGCATGTTTCTTCCATCTCTGGGAGTTCACATGAGCTTGGCTCATGATGATTTAGAAGGTTTTGTTATTTTGGTACCCTTTATTCCCTCTAGCTCTTACATTCTCTCCACCTCCTCTTCCATAGGGTTCACTAAGCTCCGGGGAGGGGGATTTGATGGAGACATCCCATTTAGAGCTGAGTGTCCTAAGGTCTCTCACTCTCTGCATAATGTCTGCTATGGGTTCTTGTTTTTGTTCCCATCTGCTGTGGGAGTAAGGTTCTCTGATGACAGATAAACGAGGCGTTGATCTATGAGAGTAGCAGAATATCATTAGGGGTCATTATTAGTTGGTTATTCCCACAAGCTTTGAACCATCATTGCCTTAGCTTATCCCAAGTACACCATTGTAGATAATGGGTTTGTAGCTGGATTGGTGTTTACATTTCTCTTTTGAGGGTGTGCAGAGTACATTCTTGTACCAAGATGCTGAAACATGGGGGTGGGGTGAAGGCTCTACATAGGCACCAGTTAGTTAACTCCATGTTCAGTGAGTTGTGTAGAGTTGTGTAGGTGTTGCCCTCAGCAATAAAGTCTTACTGTCAGTTTGTGGAGAGCAACCTACATAGTCTTCGCAATAGCCTGGGCTGCCTGGGGATTCTTTTAGGACTCCTTTGGTCAAGAACTCAACTATTTGTAACACAGTCCCAGTACTGGAAGCTTTGTTTAGTGACAAGAGGTGGTCAGGTGGAACTCTGTCTCCCTCATTATTTAGCAATTTCATTTAAATTGCCTTCACGTGTATATATTTTAGGAAATTTCTGCTGTGTTAGGGTTCCATAGTACCCCCCAAAATACCCCTTAATTTTATCTTTCTCTTTATTTCCTTACACAACCCCTTATCCCCTTCTCCTTCCCCATGTGATCCTCTCATTCCAGCCTCCCCCATCCACCCACACTCTCTATGCTATTTCCCTTTCCTAATGAGATCTTTAGTCTCTTGCTCTATACCTACCCTCTGTGGGTCTATGGATTGAGAATCTGAGTTTGAAGAGAGACCTCATGGCGCAAAGGTAGCACGTCTGACTCCAATGTAGCCTGGTTATCATTCTGTCATAGCCTGGTTATCATTAACTTCATATCTAATATTAACACATAAGCAAATGCATGACATATTCATCTTTCTATGTCTGAAATACCTCTCTCGGGGTGATTTAATTCTCTGGTTCCATCCGTTTGCCTGAAATTTTCATGTTATCTTTTTTTAAACTTCTTAGGTCATGACTTCACTCCACCTCCTCAGAATCATTTCACAGTTTATTCTTGAATTTGTTGCCTGTGTTTTGGGGACAATATTTTAAAAGTTACTACCTAGACCACTCTCAGAGAGATCTCCACTTATTCTAGTAGTTTGACAATCTTGTGTATAGCTCTTCAGTCCATTCTGAGTTGATTTTTGGATCTTGTATGTGATATCAGTCCAACCACTTTTTTCTTCTATAATACAGGCCATTGGCCCTGTTGGTCTAGGAGCTATGTGTTAAGTAGCAAGAATATAGATAATCTGTTTCATACCTGCTATGATTAGCATGTGAAAAACAGGGCCTATGTCTAGTCCTTTCCTTATCTTCTTTGGAGACTTTGTGGGGAAAGGAAACTCCAAATAACCTTAGCTACTTATATCAGGAAACAAGAAGAGGAAGATATTAGAATTTAGACATCATTGAGTCCACAAATAGAACAATTTGACATATTTAAATATAGTTCTTCTTCATGTAAAAAAAAAAAACAAGTAAAGCCTCATATCTACTAACTGGCAGATAGGTTCAGTTCAAACACATCAGCAATAAGGAAGACTCATGGGACTTCTCCCAGTGGTGACAGCGCTAACACAGTGCAGCCAGATGAACATATGCTATGATTCCAAAACTGACATAAACTTCTTTACCAGGCTTTTGTGCCAAGTGTGGCCCATATAGTTCTTGCAACAAAACTACATGAACCACTTTTAAATATATATATATATATATATAGATGTACCCCAGCATACAGAATCATAATCTCTAAGAAAGGTTCAATAAACCTAGAATTTTAGTGTCTTCTCACAACCCTCATAATTTATTCTTATAGGAGTGATGGTCATAGTCAGTATTCTCAAGAATATGTGTAACTCTAGCCTGAAAAATTTATACTAGTTGTGAAGGAGGCTGGGAAAATATTAAAATACAAACAATACATATCAGTCTATCCAATGGAAGAGAATATGGGCTAATTATACTTTTAAATTATAGACACCATAATTATTGTCTGTGACTACCCACTCCAAAAAAAAACCACACAATTTTACAATTCAGATTTCCTCAGGGACTTGAATTATAATTATGGTAAAAACACAAAGGAAGTTTATGGTAATGGAAAAAATGTGCTATAGTATGTCGTATCTTGTCAAGAAAACCCCAAATAATATCAGCTGTATTACCTAATGAGGCTCTTTTAAATAGGGGAACCCATGAATTTTGAAATTATTCTGTGTCTTTTGATTTTAAGGAAAACCCAGCTGAAAACCCTCCTGGCCATTGGAGGCTGGGACTTTGGACTTGCCCCAGAAGTTCTCTCTAGAAAACCACTTGTTCATTTACTATTGAAAGCAAGCTAGCCTGACACAGCCTCTATTGTATTACTTCACAACATCAGAGGTGATGAAGGACTCCTATAAGTGAATGTGTTGACTCTATAAATTGACTGGAACCTTACTTCTAAGCAGAACATATTGGAAATATCACTATGGCATCAAATGTTTAAATTCAAGTGGGTATTCAAGTACAGCATCCTTTGGCATTAATTACCTGCTTCCAAAGTGCCTCTACCTAGAGTATTTCAAGGCACAAGGGCTGAGGAAGGCCTTGTACAACTTTGTCTTTTAGGAAAGGAACATTAAAAGTCTACTCATAAATAAGACTTCTTTAAGAGCACATGAACTTGGAGGGTATTTGCAGACAACGCGGTAAGTTAACATGGCAGGTTATCCAAAATAATAATAATTTTGGACTAGTTCATTTGAGGATAACAAAACAAAGGGAATGCTAAGTCCTGAGGCTGACAAGAGTAGTAATGCAAAGGGAGGCTGGGGCAGGTTGAGGGCTCAGAGGTACAATTTGGGTGTAAAGTGTTTTTATTCCAATATGTTAGTATCCTGCCTTCTTCTGGTCTTTCTCAGATTCAGTAACATGGACTCCACTCCTCACAGACTTTCATTAACTCAGCCATCAAATTCCTGTGTCAGTACGGGTTTCATTGGCTGAACCTAAACTGGCAGTCCTCTGAGTCTCATGGGAGCCCTGCTAAGGACAAGCATCTCTTTGCCATCCTTGTGAAGGTGAGGAAAGCAGGAAAAGCCAGAAGTATCTTCAGTTATAGAAAATTCAAAGTCTGTTCTTTCCAAGGAGAACTGGATGGAGACAGAGTAAAACCAAACTCAACTGAATCTTAGCACCGCACAGATCCTTCTGTATTAAGTACCAATTCAACAAGATATATTTCAGATATATCACATTGTTTTAGGAATGATTATTCACATTCAATGCATGTTTTAATTGAGAATATCATACATTGTATTTTGATCATAACTTCCTCTCCCTCGTCTTCTCTCACATCCACCTCAGATTCCGTACCCACCTAACTTTGAGTAATTTAAACACACACACACACACACACACACACACACACACACACACAAATTCCAATTAGTGCTGTCTACTCTTGGTTGTATGGCTATTCACTGCAGCATATCAAGGACTACACTATCAATTACCTGGAAACTATCAATTACCAATCACTCCTTCAGTGGGGATGGAATTTCTTGACAAATTCCCCACTCCATGCTGGTATTTTGTCTGGTTGAACTTGCACAGATTTTTGTGTATTAAGTGCTCTATGATGAAAGCACCATTATCTACAGATAAATAACTAAAGATAAATCGCAAATGCCCATGTTATCTAACAACAGAGTTCAATAGCAGGAGCAATTATATGAGACAATCTGTTGTTACTAGACTAACACATGCACTGTGGCAAATATTGGGTTTAGGCTTAAAATAAGAATAAGGCAAAATCTTTGACTTTAAAGAACATACAATATGAAGCAGAAGACTGAAACATAACCAGTAAATGCAGACACATGATTATGGTAAATGATGAGGATCTACAGAGTACGAGAGAACCCCAGAGAAGTTTGTGTGAAGAAGGATCAGAAAGAGTTTACCCCAGTAAGTGGAGCTTAATCATAGTCTTGGAAAAATGTCAGTGTTCCCCAATGAGGTTAGAATGGAAAGGTCACAAATGAAGACATGGAGGTCAGTCAGTGATCAAGTGATTGGGAGAAAAATTATGAGTTTTCACAGGTAGCAAGAATCTGACCATGTGCGGTCGGTTAGCTGAAGAATTGGGAATTCTCCCTCAAGATAATTGGGAACGCTGTGAAGGGTTGTGAGAAATATGACCAAACGTTTGGTTTTGACTATTGCTCTGACATTAACCACAACCAAGTAGAGTCATCAGGCAGAGCTCGAGTGGAAGCTACTGATGTGACTTAAGGAACAGGTGAAAGGAGGAAGCAATGCTTTTACACTGAGGGAAGGACGGCTTGCACAGAGAGGTTTGAAGAAAGAAATCAGTGGGACCTGGGGTTCAATCTATAGTAGAAAATAATAGGCGACCTCCAGTTTTCTGATTTAAAGAACTATATGGGCATAAATGGGTTAGTTAAGATGATAAATAACAGCGAAAGAGTGGGTTTGGGATGGGAGAATTGACCGCTTTACATCCGAGCATAGTGGCCTATCTGAATGGCCAGAATGCATCGAATGATTACAAATCCGGAGCTCACGTGAAAGAACTTGACTTGGGGACTGGTGCTATCAGCAACAGGGATGATCCCCAAGCGAAACTGAACGCATCTTCAAGTCAAAGATGACAGGCGGCTTTTAATTCATTCCATTCTTTTCTTCTAATTTCTACTCCTTTTTGACAGAATCTCTTCCACTGCCCTATATCCACAGTGACACATTATTTCCATCTGGTGCTGTAGCCTCTGGAGAGTTTCAACACTAAGTAATTCATGGAGCTAACTAGTTTACTTTTCATCTAATACCTCTAATTATCTGACACAGTAACTCCATTTCTTTAATTTTTATATTTATTCTTTGGCAATTTTATGCATAAATCAATGTGCTTAGATCATATTCACTACCCACTACCCAAACACACACACACGCACTGCTACACTCTTAATTCTCTCCAGACTTCCCTCATCCCACTCTCAAATTCAGGGTTTCTGTTTTAAGAGGCCAATGACTGCTGGTGTATGGCGCCATCTACTGGAAAACTGGCAAATTACCACGGGCCATACAGCTGAGGAAAACCGATTCTCTTTCCCACTGTAGCCAATAGTTCCTCACCTAAAGGTGGGACCTCCTAAGGCCTTTCCCACTCCATACTGAAGTGTTGATTGGCTTGACCTTGTGCCAATCTTGCAGAGACAAGAACTCGCAACTATTGTGAGTTCATGAATGCAACAGCCCCATTGTAGCCAGAAGGCATTATTTCTCAGCGATCTTCCCCAACCTCCGGCTCTCCCCTTTTTCTCCAATGTCCCCTGCTCCTTGGGGAAGTGGGGTGTGAGTCAGATACCCCATTTTGAGCAAAAGACTCCACGGTCACTTCTTCTCTGCATTTCCACCAGTTTTGTGAGTTTGCATTGTCATTTGCTGCATAGAGACGCCTCCCTGGTGAGGGATGACAGTTGCCCTAGTCTGTGGGTGCAAGGACAAGTGATTTAGGAGGCAGTTTGATACTGTTTTCCTTAGGAAGACAGGAGTTGTAGAGCCTATGACTGCCAAACTCACAGGTTCTTGGCCACACTTACAGTGCCATCAAGTTCTAGTGGTAACCAACAGCAATGGTAACAGCCTGCATTGTCCTAGGTGTCTCTGGGACCCCATGACCAACAACTTGAATACCCACATCCCACATCAGGCACTGGGCTTCCTGTTTGATCATCTATGGCTTCCCCCATGTAAGCAACTCCAATTAGGCCTTTTAAATAAATGTATTTGGGGAAAGTTATAAAACAGTAGGTTTCCATATGGTTTTGACAAACATTCTTATACTTACCCTTCCTCTTAACCCCTACTGTGCTCTACATTAACATCCCACTCCACACTTATCCCCTCCAATTATTCCCCTTTCCCCCTCCAGTCTGTCTGTTGTCTACTCTCCTACCCCTCTCTCCCACCCCATTAAGCTCTGTCTTCCTTCCCTGTGTTCCAATGGCCCCTTTCTAATTTCCTGGCTTCTGCAGACTATCTCTATTTTAATTGTAACATGCCCCCATGTAAAAGTTGCAGGTCTGTCCACTACAGCAGTGCAATAAAAAACATATACCTTGCAATATTTCAAGACATCTCTAACACCCTCCTTTTTATTTTTATTTTATTTTTATTTTACATATCGATCCCAGTTCCCTCTCCCTCCCTCCCTCCTTCCCTCTTTCCCTCTCTCTTCCCCTCATATGCACCCTGACCACCCTCCCATCCCATCCCCCCCACCACTATACATGTAGGGTGATGATATCCAGGAGGGGTCATCTAAATCTGTCAAGTCACTTGAAGTAGGGACTAGGACTTCTCTCCTGTCTCTAGGTTAAGGGAGTATCCCTCCATGGGGGATGTGCCCGCAAGGTCCTTTTGTGCACCAGGAATACATCCTGGTTCCACTATCTGAGGTCCCTTAGACTGCTCAGGCCTTCTAGCTGAGGCCCATGTTCAGGGGGTCAGAGTCAGTCCCATGCTAGATTCCCCCAGTTATCAGTCTGGGGGCCCGTTAGTTCCTCCTTGATCAAGTCCGCTGTCTCTATTTGTTTCTGCAGTGTGGTCAAAGAGAAGGGGAGGAGAGGAAAGCACATGGGACTAGGAAGATTGAGTCAGGGGAGGAATAGAAGACAGAAGAGAGAGAGAGAGAGAGAGAGAGAGAGAGAGAGAGAGAGAGAGAGAGAGAGAGAGAATAAGAGAGGGAGTCATTATAGGATTGAAGAGAAAACTGAACCTAAAGAAATGTCCAGAGACCTACAAGACTGACTCCAACTAACAATTTGAGCAACAGTGGAAAGGCTACCATAATGCCCTTCCCTGATAATGAGATCAACGACTAACTCATCCACCATCATGGAGCCCTCATCTAGTACCTGTTGGAAACAGAAACAAACACCCACAAAACACTGAGTCAAACACCCTTCTTTTTTTTTTTTTTTTTTTTTTTTTTTTTTGCATATAGAGTATTTTTTATTTAATTTTATATAACAAAGTCCAATTAAATGAAAACAAACATTTATACACAATATTTGGGAATTTGGGCCTCGTTCTTTCCAAACTACTTCCTGCTGGTAAGGGGCGCTGTCTTGGGGGATTCGAAGAAGATTCAGACATCCTAGCTGTAGTCTGTAGGGCTGTTTTGTCCAGCTGTTTGGAATGTAGGATCAGCTTGTACTCTGTTTCAGGCAGTCTGGTGTGATCAAACCACATTAGTCTGGAAGGAATCCACATCTTTTCATTTTCTGTGGAAACAAAAATAGAAATACTTTTCCCCAGTAACTTGTTCTTCAACTTAAATTTTGGAGTCAAAGCGTTTTTTTTTTTTTTTTTTTTTTTCTTGTGTCGATCCCAGTTCCCTCTCCCTCCCTCCCCCCAAGCCCTCCCTCCCTCCTTCCCTCCCTTTTGCCCTCTCTACCCTCTCCCATGCACTCTAAACACCCTCCCCTCCCAACCCCCCACCCCAATTCCATATGTAGGGGAATGCCATCCAGTTGGGGTCATGTAGATCTGACAGGTCCTGTGAAGTAGGGACTAGGGCTTCTCTCCTATCTCTAGAATAAGGCAGTTATCCCTCCATGGGGGATATGTTTGCAAAGTCCTTTTGTGCACCAGGGATACATCCTGGCTCCACTGTCTGAGGTCTCTTAGACTGCTCAGACCTTCTGGCTGAGACCCATATTCAGGGGGGTCCGAGTCAGACCCCTGTTGGCTTCCCAGCTATCAGTCTAGTGGCCCTTAGCTCCTCCTTGTTCAGGTAAGCTGTCTCTATGTACTTCTACCGCATGGTCTTGTCCTCTCCATCTGCTTCTGGGTTCTAGTTTGACTCAGTGTTTATGTATGGGTGTTTGCTCCTGTTTTCAACAGGCATTAGTTGAGGACTCCATGGAGAAGTTAGTTGTTGATCTCACTCTCCGGGAAGGGCATTTATGATAGCCTTTCCACGGAAGCTGAGATTGTTAGTTGGGAGCAGTCTTGTAGTTCCCACGACCTTTCTTTGTGTTCAACTTTATCTTCAAACCAATATTGGCTCCCTATTTTATGTTCTCTCTCTCTGTCTCTGTCTCTCTCTCTCTTTCCTATTTTCCATTCCTAACCAGGCTCAATCCTCCTGGTCGCACATGCCTTCCTCTCCTCCCTCTCATTTTCTCCTACTTCTCTCTCCATTAGCTGTCCTCCCCCACTATACCTGAGGTCTGGGGGACTTGTCCCTTCCCAGTTCTGTGAGGGACTTTATATGAATCTCTTAGAATACAACTTGTATCCTAGTTCCCTCTGGTGATGTGAATTATAGGCTGGTGATCATTTGATCTAGGTCTAAAATCCATATATGAGTGAGTACATACTGTGTTCCTCTTTTTGTGACTGGGTTACCTCATTCAGGATGGTTTCTTCAAGTGCCATCCACTTGCCTGCGAATTTCAAGATACCATTATTTTTTTCTGCAGAGTAGTATTCCATTGTGTAGATGTGCCACATCTTCATTAACCATTCTTCAATTGAAGGGCATCTAGGTTGCTTCCAGGTTCTTGCTATTACAAATAGTGCTGCTATGAACATAGTTGAACAGATGTCTTTGTTGCATTGATGTGAATCCTTTGGGTATATGCCTAAGAGGGGGATTGCCGGGTCCTGTGGTAAACTAATTCCCATTTTCCTGAGGAACCGCCATACTGATCTCCAAAGTGGCTGTATGAGTTTGCACTCCCACCAGCAGTGGAGGAGTATTCCATTTTCTCCACATCCTCTCCAACATAAGTCATCACTGGTGTCAAACACCCTTCTTATAATGCCTCTTCATCTAGTAAAATGTCCTAGTAACTTGACCACTCGCACACATGGAAATTTCTGCAAGTATTCTGTTGGAAAATGACATGTCACTCCTAAATAAGGCAATTATAAGAGCTGACCCCAGTACTTCACATAAGATTAAAGTCGCAAAAAGTAGAGGTAGATACCGTCTAGCACTAAATTGTACCTGTCACCCAGCCATTACCACCTTCTCCCTTAGTTAACTTTGCATTTCATTCAATGAGATGTTGGTCCTGATACATTTCAGTTACTGGAAAAGGAGAAAACTTCCTCCACCACTGAAAGCTGGATTTAGGAAGCTGCAGCAAGAGATGGATGCTTCAGAATGTGGTGACGTGGCAAAGCTAGATTTTTGGATGACTGGCTACTAACTTTAGATGGAACATAGTGAGGTTTCCTGAACCCCATGAATATTAAACGGCTGTTAACACCATCTGTTGTACTGACTTTATTGAGATGATGACAGACTAAAACAAAGTGTGCAGGTTCTCCTCGGTATGAGTGTGTGTGTGTGTGTGTGTGTGTGTGTGTGTGTGTGTGTGTGTGTTAGAAGAGCGGAAATAAACTTGTGATGTTCTCTACTGTACTTTAATATCCTATAGAAATGTGTGAAGCTTTTGAACAGGAAGCCTTTCAGAGCAATAGCCCCAGTTGATGATCTCTGTCACAATGTCTGGTGTCATCCTCACCATCCAGTCTGGCTATGAGACCCCCCAACTGTCACATTAAGTGATCTACCATATTGTGGAATTCCTGTGGGAGTGTAAGCAGCAGATCTTCATCCTTGGGATGTTTTGCTGCACATGAACTTTGTTAATAGGCTTTGAAATGGTGGGTTTTCCTGGCAAATGACCATCAGAAATTATTTAAACATCCTTCATTCACAGCTCCCTAGACTACATCCAGGTCATGACTTACAATCTCGATGGCTCCCACTTTACAAATCCCCTTTACAAAACAGTCCCCTTTACAAATCCCTAAATGACACTGGTACCAACACCTTCCTCAATGTGGTAAGAGCCCTACACAGATGCAAATGCAGACTAGAAATGCTCCAAGTCATAAGAGGTTTATCACAAAACTAAAAAATAAATTTTGAGTATGCAGTAGTCTTATATACCTCATTAACCACAACTTCAGTGAAGTATTTTGGAAAGAAAACTAGTAAATTATCAATATATAATTTGAACAGTTAGGACAGGGAACTAACATAACCCAGCACAGGTCACCAGCTACCTAAGGCTAGAGCTAACCTTCTGCCACTGCAGGATTACATTGTGACCTACTGGGATGAGGATGGAGCCGCTCCTGAGAAGATCACTGCTGGATTCCCAGGCTATAGACAAACCTTCACCCTGAGTGACCCCTCCACCACTGGAATCTGTGCCTCTACATTAGTGCTGGTGCACTAGGGCTGACCTGAACAAGGGGGAGCTCATGGACCCCCAGACTGATAGCTGGGAAGCCAGCATGGGACTGACTCAGGCCCCCCTGAATATGGGTCTCAGCCAGAAGGACTGAGCAGTCTAAGGGACCTCATACAGTGGAGCCAGGATGTATCCCTGGTGCACAAAAGGACTTTGGGAACACATCCCCCATGGTGGGATAACTGCCTTAATCTAGAGACAGGAGAGAAGCCCTAGTCCCTACTTCACATGACCTGTCAGATCTGCATGACCCCAACTGGATGGCATTCCCCTACATATGGAATTGGGGTGGGGGGATGGGAGGGAAGGGTGGTTAGAGTGCATGTGAGAGGGCAGAGAGGGTAAAAGGGAAGGAAGGAGGGAGGGAGGGCTGCAGGGGAGGGAGGGAGGGAGAGGGAACTGGGATCAACATATAAAATAATAAATTAAATTTAAAAATTGCTTTGACTCCAAAATTTAAGTTCAAGGACAAGTTACTGGGGAAAAGGATTTCTATTTTTGTTTCCACAGAAAATGAAAAGATGTGGATTCCTTCCAGACTAATGTGGTTTGATCAAGCCAGACCACCTGAAACAGAGTACAAGGTGATCCTACATTCAAAACAGCTGGACAAAGCAGCCTTACAGACTACAGCCAGGATTTCTGAATCTTCTTAGAATCCCCCATGACAGCGCCCCTTACCAGCAGGAAGCAGTTTGGAAAGAACGACGCCCAAATTCCCAAATATTGTCTATAAATGTTTGTTTTCATTTAAATGGACTTTGTTATATAAAATTAAATAAAAAAATTTATTAAGCTAAAAAAACAAATAAAATATTTTTAAAAATTAAAAAAAAGAAAGAAAAAGAAATCAAATGATTATTGTTATCCTCTATCCTTCAACAGGCCAAATGACTTAAACAGAACAGCCTGGGAGGTGCCATGCTATGGACCCTTGACATTGATGATGGACCCTTGACATGGATGACTTCCCTGGTGCTTTCTGCAACCAGGGACAGTTTCCCATGACATCTACACTGAAAAATGCCCTCAGAGTGCACAGAAAAAATATGTAACACCAGGGACATGCCAAGGGTATGCAAATGTCCCTTCAACTGGAAGGGAGCCTTGACATGCATATCTCCATTGCCTATGAAAACTCTTCTCACTTCAACCCACTGTCCTTGCTCAAGTGACAGTCACTGAGCTTTTATAAAACCTCAACTTCCATGCCAGGGATGGTATGCCTTTAAGGCAAACCAAGAATACCTGGAAGCAGGGTCCAGGTCTTCTAAATCTTGTGGTATGCAACAGTCAACAGAAACTGTGCTGGCCATCACCATAAGCATCTATGGCTCTAAGGAACTGTTGATTTCTCATTCACCCCTCTCTGGGGAGATTTAACAGGAAGGCTCAACAGTATTCTCATTATTTTTTTTTATGTTTTTATCTGGATCTTTAAAACTTTCTACTTTACATAGTAGATACTTGGCAAGTATGTTTTAATGAGTTATATGGAGAAAAAGTACATTTTTTAATTCCAAGTCCAGCTCGCTTTGAGTAAAGATAGAGTGTGTGAGGACCTGGGTTGATATAACTTCTTAAATCCTGAGCATAGAACTATCCTCTGATCTAACCCTCACTCAAGGCCACCATGCCCATACTTCTCTTCACCTCCAGCAGAAGTCTTCCTTTTCATGAGGGTCTCTACTCATCACTTTGTGTTGTTTCTCAGGTTGTATGGCATCTGTTTCAACTCTTTAGCAAGTAAATGCTGCTCCTCTAGACAGTGGAAGTAGGAACTTGAAGAGAGGCTCTGAGGTCATAGGTTCTGTGTCACCTATACAAGCAGAACGACCAAATGCCTCTGGCACTACCCAAATGGAATCTCATCCCAGCACAATTTCCAAATGGACCTTCTCCTCAAAACAACCTGCTTTGAAGAATCTAGTGATGAACTTCCCTGTCAGCTTTTCCCAGGGCTCTGGAGTCCCCCTTCCTCCTTGAAAAGGCCATCTTGAATCTATCTAAAATGCTAAAATAAAACCAACAGTCAAATCATGAGTTCCCTTTGGGGGGTGATTTGGGGAAACTTTCTCAGTGTGGAAATACCAGCTGTTTCTGGTGAAAGGTGGAGTGACTGTGTGAGAATGTAGTGAAACCACCACCCCACAATCTTCTGTCTGCCTATGTACATCTGCATGATGGATGAGGCTGTGGGAAGGAAATGGTCAAACTGATGGTGCACAGGACAAGATGAGGACATTTACAAGAAAGGTCTGTATAATAACAGTTCTCAGGATGGAACCACAGTAACTCCTGGCCACATGAGCATATGCTGTTCTGCTTGCCTTGTCCAAGATTGGCACCCAGAACATCATCCCACTTCTGCTCAAGGCCCAGTGCTGCTCTAGCATTTGCAGGATTGGCACCTGTGTTGGGCTCATCGTGGAGAAGCAGTGGATGCATCATGGGCTATCTGCCTAAAATATGAGCTAGCAGGATCCTTTTCTGAGAACATGTACTTTATTTAAAACCATAGTTGTGGTTGCCAGCTGCTGTCACCACTCACTCACGTGGTTGTCTGATTAACTGGCCATTGGACTCAATGGAGCAGATTAGATTACCACTTCTGGGAATTCCCAACTGAGAACAAAGACTGTTGGTCTGTTAGTCACTAAGGGTGGTAGAATGTAAGCTCAGGAGCAATAGAGGACTGAGGAAAAGAGAAAGTTATGCTAAATTCAAAAGCTGGAATGTAGGATCCACTGAGAGCACTTACCAATAGTTTCATAGCTCCTGATTCTAGATCCTTCATGAAGTCAGATGTGCTTCTACCTTTAGAGTCTGCAAGACTTCCCTTTAACTATACAGCTCTCCATTGTTCCTAAAAGTGCTCAAGTGTGTGTCTCTTATTTACAATTAAAAGAACTGGGATCGACATGTAAAATAATAAATTAAATTTTAAAAAAAAAAAAGATTCTTCATGTAATAAGAATATAATGGTTCCGCATTTTTCTCCAGAACCCACTATAGGTTCACTTTATGTGTTAAATTATTTTTGGTTTTGTTTCTTTCCTTTTAGAATGGGTTGATCTATGTAGCCCAGATTGGTCTCAAAATCCTGGGCTCAGTGATCCTCCTGTCTAAATCTCTAGAGCAGTTGACTACAAGCAGATGCCACACATCCAGCTCACACTCTAAGTACTGAATGTGTGTTTTCTTACTTAGTTCTCACACAAACCTTATAAGACAGATACTACTACTTCCTGAGACCTGAGACTTGGAGAAGCTTGGCTTCTTACAAAGCTGGGGAACTATGGTTTGGACCCTTCTCTCTACTGTTTCACTGCATTCCCCTGACACCAAGCCAGAGATCTCATGAGAGATGATAGCACTGGCGACTGATGAGCTGTTCTCCCCCTGAACAACCAGTCACCATGAACTCCAGGCACTCCCCATTAATACATGCCAGATGTCACCCTATGTGTGAAAGGCAGAGGAGTAAGAAACTAATCTCCTTTTTACAAGGGGATGACATTTTACTTCTGTCAGGTTGAACAATAAATAAAGAAGGAAATAAAGATGAAAGCTTGTTTAAAAGAACCCAGTAAATGACAATACTTTGGTTTGTTCAGTCCAGACAATGACTCTTGCAGGAAGATCTTAACCAAAACCAAAGGCAGCTAACAATTTTCTCATCTGAGAAGAGTTTCTCAGGCAGTTACAGCGAGGACAAACTTCTCATGGTAGAAATGAGCAAGGCACATTAAATTATGCCAGAGCTGAAGGGAGTCAGCCCAGGATACTGATGTTGTTTACTGGTAGTTACCACTCGATCAGGCTTTCTAGCTGCCTTTATACCACAAGGCTTCTTTGCAGAAAACAATGTCACAATGACTTAAAAGGGAACTTCTAGAGCTGGGCTGTTGCTTAGCAGCCAGTCTTGAGCACACCCCTCTTTTTCCTGCTTAAAACCTATCATGAGAGTAGTGTCTTGTTAGGCAATACATATGGAAGACAATGCTGCTGAAAGTTCCCATGCACTACAGTCATTGTCCAAATCTCTTGAAACATTTGAAAAAGTTAAGATAGATGACCCGACTGACAAGACCGAAGACAATGAAGTCATACAACGGAACAATCATCCATTCCTTTGGAACTTCAATCAAGGTAATGATACTCTCAGACTATAGTATGTATATAAAAGTATCCCTTCGTGGTAGTAGATAAATTGCAAAAAGACAGGGTAGAGCTCATTTGAAGATGACAAGAGGAACCTGGTCCTGGGTGGGAAGAAGACATCTCTAGCAGCTATGCCAAAAGCCTTGGCAAAGCGAATGCCCCAAGCAGAAAAAGTAGAACAAAAATAGCCTTGGAGCTGGCTGGTACCTTGAACATAAAAAGGGGTAGACTGGAAGTGCATTTCCAGGTGTGCATTAACAAGTTTACACTTGCTCTGTACAATGTGCCCCTGTGAAGACTCCTGCCATCTCATGGCAGCCCTTGGAGGAAAGACCTGATTGCTGCGGTCATCCTTAGGGTCTCAGTAGCTTCAGGAGCTCCCACAAGATCATGAAACTAGGAAATGCAAACCGATACTTAATGCACACCAGCCTGAGAGACTTCAGAGTCCATGTTCGCCTGTTACTACTGAATGGCAGGGTCTGACATTTACCAAAGTCTAAAAGGGAAGACTTAGGAAGTCTGTTTCCTCTCCTCTGTCTGCTTTCTCTGGATACCTATCCTGAAGCATTATTTTTACTCCCCAGATCAGAGGCCCCTAATCTTGTTCAGATCTAAGGTCTGCTTTGAGTGACAAATACATTTCATGATGTCACTTCCTTGTTCTATTATTAAATTAATCAATAATACACTCTACATCACACAATTTCATAAGCTCATATAAAATGCTATAATTTTAGCTTTACAAAGAAAACTGAATTTTGGTACTATGTCCTGTATACCACCAGCAAAGAGATGCTCAGCCTTAACTACTTTAGAAG